TAATTAGAAAGTGTCGATGGGTTTGTTGATTGGCTTCTGAGTTGTGCTCAGACAGATTTTGTGCAGGTTTAATGGGGTTTGGGACATGGTTTTTGGATCTGGGGCCTCGGGCTATCTTAAGATGGTTTCATGATGGTTTGGCGGGGTGTCATAGTTTCCTGCGGGCTTTCTGATGGCGCCCGCGAGTTTGTGGGGCTTCGGTACCTTCAAGGGTGGTCTCATAGGGGGGCTGAGGGACTTTGAAACGGCTTCATAATATTCATGACGCATGCGAGTGACGAAGCGTGCACCCGGCGAGCGAAATGGACTATACGAGGCAAGCGAGCATTGTCAGCACGATTTGGGGTTAAGTATGTCACCCCGGCTCACAACAGTTACATGTGCTTCTGAAGCTTCCCCTTGGCACGGGAAGAAAAGTCAACAAATGCATCATGATCACTTGTTTTTATTGACTAGCGCCAAGCCGTATCGTGAGCCCAAGCAGAGAAAAGTTTAGACCCAAAGCGAGGCAAAGCGGCACAGGGCCTAGGGTTTTGGGTTTGAGGCTTAGGTTTAGGGTTTGGAGTTTAGGATTTGGGGTCTAGGGTGTGGGGTTTAGGGTTTAGGGTAGTGGAGAGATTGACCCCCAACGATGCCGATGAAGCTGGCTTCTGGACCAGCATCATCGGCATCATTGTGGGTCCATTTCTCGGTCTCCAGGCTTCTCGGCACCATGACGAAATGTATTCGCTCCAGCACCTTTACTGCCCTCTGGCACTGCTGGAACACAATAGACAGAGCTTGCACTCGCCAAAAAGACCTGTTTCACACTTGTCACTAGACCGTCACACCAAACTCCGCTCTCTGATGTAAGACGTTTAGGCTACACAACACAGTACATGACTTCTCCGTGCTAAGTAGAGAACATATCCCCTTCTTATGACGTCCCCAATAGGTACTCCCAACTTGCGCCCAAGGTAGCAGGGCAAGAGCCGGCACAGTAACCCAACAAGAGTTGCGAGATGATTGCGATAGTACACGGCGTCATGCAAACGTTGTAGGCAGGCAAAACGCGTGGCCAGTACGCAGTTGCACAAAAAAATGGATGAGGTCTGCCCCGGAGCCCCACAGAGGGTCGTTGTGAAAGGATTCAGGTACCAGTCACGCCTGGATCACAGCAGTTCTTTGCTGAATTGAGCCGTTGCAGGTGCGGTCAGAAATATCGGTGAGCCGTGCCGCCAAAACATCGCCTCCACATCAACAACACCCGCATCCCTTGGTGCTCCCAAACGTGTGACTCCTGCCACCCCCTCCCTCAGGCCCTGAAAAAGCAAAGCGCTCGGAAGGCTTCCCTAAAACCCCTTCCTTCATGCATTCCCTACTATGCGCACGTGGTAGAGTCTGGTAGAGGTAGGCCGGGTGCCCGACACTGCATCTTGATTCTGGTCACCGCGGGAAAGCTTTTCCACAACGGGCGCGAGCGACACGAGCTCCTGACTGCAGCAAGTAATCCGTGCTTCACGCACATGGAAAGTGAAATCTGGTGCGCATATCTGAAACACGTGAGAAAACAGCTTCTGCCTGACAGGACGTGGAAGCCACTGGGGTTTTCCCATCGTGATCAGGGTCTGCACACCTGCAGACAACTTTGAACTTGTTCTGCAAGCAGTGAGTTGCCGTCTCCTTCCCCTATGTCGCGGAATCTACGCGTTGCGGGGCTGGGAATCTTGGAAGGTGCTTGGGATATGCGTGAAATCCAACTCGAGTCGACCAAAGCTTGCTCACGTTGCTTCGCCACGCGCAACCGTCCATATGTCCCACATTATTGATGGAAAATCAAGTGGAGAAGAAATTGGAAAATGCAATGCTACTATTTTGTTGATCAAGAATCTGCGGATCACATCACAGGAAGTTCTGAACCGTTGGCATAAGGGGGTGTATGCTATGACCCCCAACATGTAATTCCTCCTTCCAGCTGCCCGAATCCCAGGACAGGCTTTCACTTCCAAATAGCAAATGCAAGGCGGATGCCTCCAGGCTGCATCAAGCAGAGCCCGCATCAAGGAAGACGCAGCCCTCTCCAAGGATTCATGACAGCAACGAAATTGCAAAGCAGCCCTGCGTCACTTAGACGGCTGTGTTAAATGAAAGTAGAGCATCGCACAGAAGCCTTCCCCAGCACTCAAAGCAGACACATGGCTAACATGTTAAGCCCGCCCGCTGGTCCACGCACAGGGATATGGATCTCCATGAAGCGGTTCTGGCAACATTCAGAGGTTCTCAAGATGCTGGCCGCGGGCCAAGACCCCGAATCCGAACAGGAATTACCAAGCATTCCCAGATAGGTCTGGTGTCGATGGGCAGCTGCTTGCTCAAAATAGTGCGCAGAATGGCGTGCTAGGCGAAACCCTGAACTTTTAAAGAACCGCCTAATGCAGCCCACAGGTACCGCCCGTTCAGCACGAAATGATGCAGAAACGCAAAACATGCCACTGAGACCATCGTGCCTGCGTTCGTGTAGGCTTGAAGCTCATGTTTGTTGTTTACCGGTCCAGCAATCTTTTCAACCGCAGCCCAGCCCGTGCCCAACCTTCCTGGAGGTTCTTTGTGCCACCCGACAACGGATCTTCATATTTGCTAGGGGTAGGGCGGGGCACTTCGGACTGCCTGCTGTGCACCGTGCTGGGGAGGAAGGGAGGGGGGGGGGGGTTAGCTGAGCGCGTTGTTTTGACAACCGGCCGATACAGAGGTCCCTGGCATCTGGTAACTGCTTGATCATAACTGTGATTGTCTCCCAGTACAGATGCTGGGGTCACTGCTGCGTACGCTGCACCTGCCCAAAGAAAACACGAAAACACGACGCTCGCTGCAGCACGTAGCGTTGCCTCTTCAGAATGTCTGGCATCTTCATGACTGTATGACCATAGCATGTGCCCCTTCATACCAGTGTTCCTGCTTTACATGTGCGATCAGTAGAGGTACGTAGCACCAGCACTGTAAGCACGCCGCTAAAAGCACTTTCCATGTTGCTGCGATTCATGCTTAGCACGACCTTTCCCTTCTGCTGTTGTTACTCCAATTGCAGGATGGTTGTGACACCTCTTCTCGATACAGCAGGGCTAGGAAGAGGCCCAGCAGTATCAGCGCAGCGCAGCAGCAAACCTGGAAGAAGGTGCGGAAGTTTCTGCGCATTGGAGGCCCATTTCTGTCGGCTTTTGGTAACCCTGAGACAGTGGGGCATACCTTTTGCGCCCCTAGTTGCTTGAAAACAGCTCTGTCCAAAATTCCCATGCCATGCTGGGGTTTCAGCGCATCGAACCTTGGGCTTGTAGAACTTGAAAGTTCTGACCTAGGCTGGACAACATGCTTCATGATGGAAGTTCAGGTGCAGCTGAATCTACCGAGCTTGTGTTACAGGCTGTGGCGTGGACACGCTCCATGTCGTATTCGCCCTGACTTGCACCCACATGCTGGTAACCGGGCACCTCGCACGAGTCCCTGTCTCACTGATCCAACTCAAAGTCTTACCCACAAGAGGCCCGCTGACGCATCTGGCAACCAAGGACGTGACCAGCATGTAGTGACCCCTTCCCTCTCCCACATAGGTCCACTTTGTGGACGCCTCAGTGCAGGCAGAATGGAGTGGCATGTGATTGCGGAGTGTGCAGTGGGGTCCAAAGCACACAGCTCCTGAATCAAAGATCACGGCTTGGTCATCAAAGTCAAGACATGGATCGCAGCCTGAGACAAAAGCCATGGAGCTTGAATTTTCAGCTGTCAGCAAAGCTGCCGTCTGAAGGTATTCAGGATCTCACACTCTGGCTCGGCTTTTGCCGATCTCACATGACCTGCAACCGCGTGCAGCAAGCAGAGCGCTTGGTTGAAGGTCTTGCTTGTGAATCCCGTGCCTTCCGGCCTGTGCAGCCTAAGCTCTCCACGCGTCTTCCAAGTTTGTTAGCCACTTGTTGCACTGCTTCTCGAGTCTGAGGATGCGGCTTGTCAGAGCTCGCAGATGAATTGGGCATGCAAGGTGCTGGTCACAAATCAGGGTGCTTGGTTAGTCGATCCCCTGCTGGGGGGGGGGGGTCAGCTCCGGTTATTCTTATCCGTAGCTTCATGTGTCAGCCATTCCTGTTAGCTGTGTTGAAAAAACATCTGACCTTTTGGCACCGGATCCATGCAGGCAAGATGGCTATTCCCATGGACTAGGCGCTCTCGGTGATTTCCGCCATTCATGAGCAAAATGCCCTCAGCTGGGTCAAGCGGCTTATCAATGTCCATGCCAGTCAACTCCTGACAGCCAAACTACGTGACAATGACAGAAGGACTCCAGGCTTTTTGGCGATTGCATTGGCGATTATGAGATGCAAAGTGAAACCACCTCTGAGTCCATGTGGGACTTCGCCACCTCAGTGCAAATTGAGCGGAAGCAAACTTTCTGGCAGCACAGCACCGACCTAACAGTCTGATAGGCCGCTCGAACACAAGGAGTCTCAGGCAGCCGCAAGCTGGAACAGCGTGAATTGCCCAACTTGTTTAAGTTGGCTCCACAGGCACAGCCAGCCGGCGGAGTTGTGAGACACGAGCACGCAATGCCCTTCTGCTAATTGAGACCACACATTCCCCGACCAGCTTTCAATTCAGCATGTGACTCACTTTTATGGCACAAAATACTTGCAGTCCGTACATTACGTGCGTCGAGATGAAGTACTGCACCCATCAAACACTTTTCGTTGATGAGCACAAGTATTCGTGCAGAAAGGTGCGTTTGAAAGCCATACGCTGCTGCCTACCGCATTCCAGCAGAAGAAGCAGACGCGGAGCTGTCAGGAAAAGAGTACATACCATGCCCTGTTGTAGGGGTTGCTGGCAAAGCAAAAAGTTTACGCGGACTAGGACTTCAGACCCTCAGCATCCATCCTGGCTAGCATGCAGGGCACTAGCATGGAGGACAAGGAGCAAATTCGCAGTGTATGACACATTGCGGGCCTCGAGATTCCTCCTCGGCTTTCATCTGCAGGCTAGATGGCTTTTTCTGAAGCCCCACCACCTGTATTGTTGTCAAGCTGCTGCCACCGAACGTTCCAAACAATCCAAACAAGCGCCCGAGCGCTCATGTCCAACCGGTGCCGACATGACAAATGCTAATGTGCCGAGGCCCTCGGCCTCAGACGTTTTGGGGTCCAACCTGTTATTGGGCGTGGAGCTCTGGTGGAACTTCGTGCAAGGCCTACGGGTCGGGATTCAGGTGGACCCAACCGCCCCCATCCGGCTCCTCATACCTCCGCTCCTGCTTCACCACCCCCACTATCGCAGCCCGCCCTCCTCTTCTTTTCTCAGATTAACAAAGGGAAATTTGTTGCAGCAGATGGGCGACTGGCTTGGAACAATTTCCCAAAACAATACAAGACCTTCGTGTGTTGTGTTTGGGCTGCTTTGTCGCCTAGGCGTATTGAGCCGGCGGGGGTCCAATCCTACAAGGGTCTTTGGTGCTTCTTCGATCTCTTGCTCAATGTCAGGCCGGGCAATGAATCTTTGGCTGACTTGTTGGTCACCGGCGCAGGCTGGCTCAGCATGCACGTCAACAAGCACAGTGTGAGAAGGCCAAGGCGGCGCTAGCGTTACATTTAATACTGCTGAAATGCACAAACCCCGGCCTCCAAACATCACAGCAGCCAATGTGGTGGTTGCTGCTTTCAGCGTTGTGCTTGCTTTCAACGTAGTGCCTGCTTCTGCATGAGTATGCTTCTCTTCAGAAGCTAGTTCCTCCTTGGCATGGGCGTGCCCGGTCATTTCATGGGCAGCGGCTCCTTCGGAAGAAACCTTCTCTTCATGCTGACTTCTCACCGTGCGCGCATCGTGACCTACGTGAGCTGCCTGGTGACCCGTGGCATGCTCGCTGACATGCGTCACAGCGTGTGCTAGCTTCACCGCCGTGTGGCTGTGAACATGCTCACTGACAGACGTCACGGCATGCGGCAGCACCGAATCTCCAGCTGCTTTGTCGAGGAAAGACTTGCTGCCATCCAGGTTCCCGAGCTGCAAAGCTCCATCATCAACGGCAGGTGTGCTCGAGTATCCGTCAGAATCGCTATAGCTATACGGGTAGCTGCTGGGATACTGATAGCTGTGGTCATCAGTGGTGACATAGTCACTGTGCCCGGGCGTGTACGCGTCGTCGCTGTACACGTAATGCGTTGAGTGATGGACCTCCCCAAGGAATCACTTCAGATCTGCATCCCTGGAAGAAAGACACGGGCTTGCAAAGAATTGCGCTCCCTTAGCCCGGGACGTTAAACTGGCAGCCTTTCTCGTGGTAAAGGCAGCAATAGTCCTTGTGCAAAGCACAGGCACGTCGCAGTGGCATGGGAGGCAAAAGGAGCATGTAGGCCTGCTTCGCGCTTGGCCACGACTTCACCGAGCCAGCCTGATAATTCAGCGCGATCTAGGCATGCGCATAAATGATAACCACTACACTACACATCCTAGGATCCATAGCAATAGCACCAACGTGGACGCCGAGGGCGGCACATCGCAGTCGAAATGTCCCTTGACCGCTGCAGATAGCTTGCAATCGTCAAGTGCATCTATGGTCTTCTGGCTGAGCATCTGGCATGTTGAGAACAGCCAAGATCTCTGTGCGCACAGCACCAGATGGCTTTTGCAGGAGGCCAGACTCAGGAACACATGGTAGGCGTCACTACCGATAAATCTCAACTACGAAATTGGAGGGACATTGAAGGGCGGTAGGGAGCAGACGCGTCTTCCAGCTAGACAAGCCAGACTTAGCACAAGAAATCGGGTAATGTCGAACAGCTTTCACAAACATGGCACAACTAAGAGTCGATCCTGGCAATCGTAGTGCGTGGGTGTCACGATCTGTGGATACGGATGTGGATGCGGATGCGGCGACGCAGGCGAGACAGGTGACCCTACCTGAAACAAGGCAAGATGGAACGTGGTCAGCGAATTCTTTGATCCGCAGTCCTTGCAGCCCCGGGCATAGTTGGAGCAGCAGAACTCCTGCAAATGCACAGAAGGCGCGGATAGGCTAGCTGTAGATGCTTGCCATGAGAGCAAAACAAAAACCGTGGACGAGTTGCGAGAGATCCTTCTTGTCATGTGTCCAATTGTCGGCGTGATCTGGCCAACCCTCATGGCCTTAGCATGGAGCTGCTGAGCTGCTCCAAGCTGCTCCAGGATTCCAATTAGCACGGAAAAGGGTCTGAGAGTCTGAGACTGCCGCAGTTGAATTCCGGCCTCAAGCCCGGCATCAAATTGAACCGGGCGGTCGGCGGGTGTCACTGTTCACTCTTTACATTACTTTCCCAGATGGAGAAAGCAGTGTGGTGCACAGCACGGCAAACTTAGCCAGAAGCTTTGGGATCGTTGCATTTCCACAGCCCTTGTGATACGAGCTGCAGCCTCGGCAAGTCTGCATACCGTGCTTTTTGCTCGTGACACATCTTGGATTCCAGGGTGAGCATGCGATCTGGCGAACGTCTGAAAGCCTGCCTGTGCCTGCACGTAGGCAGGGTGGAAACTCAGCTCCAAACAGTATGTCCGCTGCTTTGCGCTCCTCGACATCAACTTGTCCGACTTACTATCGTCTGAACCGTTCTGGAGAACAACTTTATTCGCTGCAATTGTGCTTGTCTCGCTCAGTTGGTCTATGCTCTGGCTTCAGCATAGCAGTTCGACTCACGGACATCTTCCCTTGCATACGGCTACGCGCGGAGCAACACGCAGATCACTTAGTGCACGCAGAAATTAGCTGGGCTCACGACCAGGCCGCGGAGTCAGAACTGCAGTTATATTGCCTTGTTACAATCTGTAGATGCAAACAAGCTACTTACCCAAGCATGTCAATCCAACAGCTCTCAGAAACGCACGAGTCTACGCATCCAAGCTGTTTGTGGTCGCAGCACCACTTCTTCTTATCAGGGTGCCAGCCTGTTGCATGAACGTCATGCAGTCTCACACGGGGAAAGAGGCATCTACTGCAGAGTGCAAAGCGAAGCATGGGCGGCCTGCTAGCCAATTGGTGAGCCCGGCCATACAGTCATAGGAGTCCACATCACAGAGGACTCCATGGTGTTTGCAACAGTCTGCCTGATTTGCATTGCAGCATCAGGTTAGTCGGCAGCTTCAGAGAAGCTTGGAGCCCAGCTCTCTTTTCCTTTGACCAATCCTCCAGAAGCATTGCCGATGTTGACAGCAAACTGGAAGGCTAGCAAAGTGCTGCCTCTGGATGAACCCCAGGGGAAATGGCGCAGTCTGCGGATGGCCTGAGGCGCTGCAAGTGACATGTCCCTTTGAAATTAGCTTAAGGGCCAGGCTGGTCTTGGCAGCCCAAACCTTGAAATTCTTGAACAACATTGGTTCTTTTGATGAGTGGACTTGTGGGCAACTGCCTACTGAAGCACAGCATCGCTGCTTCTTGGCGGCACTCCACCTGCGGCATAATGCAGGCGAGAATGATGAGCAACAGATATGCTGAGGTTGGAACGTAAGGACTTGTCCTGCGTTGCCTCAGGACAACTGAAATTCTGGCTATCTCCCGATACCTAGGCCTGCTCGTTTTCAGTGATCTGCGTTTCCATACTGAAGCAAGGGGCAGCTTTCAGGCTCTGGACTGTGACCGATGTGCGTCGCACAACCAAGCTGCTCGAAGTTGCAGCACCTGGACTTGGCACAAATCTTCTATCCTATTGAGGTGTTGGATGTAGGGGGAGGTGTGTACGTAGTTTGCCTGTTGCTTTTTCACGGTGTTCTGCTGCGTTTTGTCATTTGCTGCTGTGCAGAGTGGGGCAGTGGGGGTGTTGCGGAAATGGGGTGTGGGGGTGGAGGTGGGGGGCATCATTGCAAACATGTTCAAGCTGTGCGAATCTATTCTGCAGGCTGAAGTGGAACTTGTTCAGCAAATCGCTGAGACGTCAACATGCTTAAGGCTGCGAGGGCGAGTTGCTGAAAAAGTTCCGCTTCAGCCTTCTTGTTAACAAACTACTTTCTGGCTTCCCACAGCCCCGTCCTCCAAATGCTAGCAGGCGCAACACTTCGTGGACATTCGTGGACTGGATGTGTTCTAACTCACTAGTTTTCCTTGCAAAAAAATCACGATGCGTCCCTACACCAACGCCTAAACAGCCCACAGCGCACAGGCAAACTACGCACACACAACCTAGGACCTAGGGCTTGAGTGGCAATTTCAGGCATCTGCTCATTCGACATGTGCCGCGCGATGCGCATGACTATTTACATTACAGGGCAGGGAATTTTGTCAGCAGATCTGGGAGCAAACACTTCCTTGAGGTCCATGCCATGTTCGCTTGGTCTCGTTCCAGATTTCTGCTGTCACACCTGAGGCTGGTCAGGGATTGGGCTGAGCGCTCAGCTGCTGCTGGGCAGCGGACGGTTTGAGGCCGACGGATTGGTGGCCACCATGGACTGCAGTGCACGCTCAGCACTCACAACACAAATTTGTTTTGCAGGTGCTCCGCCTTCTGCAGAGCCGCAATCATTTCCTGTCAGTCAAGCGGGTGCAATTGAGACCATCTCACACACAGCTGTGCAGCTGACCGTGGAGCCCAACTTGCCGTCAGCATCAACCTGACCGCGGGAGATTTGGGTATTGGAGGAATGGCTATGATGCACGAGGCTGGCACATCACCTGCGATGAGAAGATCCTTCCTGTACAGGACAAAGCGGCCACCAATGATCTACCGTGCCAAGTCTGGGAGTCTGGCGTGTGCTGTGGCAAAGGAGATTCGTTCAAGATTGCTAGCTCTGAAACACCTCATGAGGTGAAGATGCAACGAAAAACAGGCTGGCCCAGGCCCCGAGGCTTGGGAGCAGGCTCAGGTAGCCATCGCAATCCAAATCTGCCACAGCCTGTTGGCAAAGCAGCAAGCAGCCGCTTCCTTGCAAATCGTGCGACTTCTGCATATTCTGTAGTTCCTGGTTCGTACGCGGGCTGCTCTCTCATGTTTTGGTTTTCACAGCTCAGTACTCAGCACCCGGGGCCGGCTGTTCAAGAAATGGCAACGCCACCATGTCTGCTCTCAGTTTTGATCACTTCGCTAGCAAACCTGGGCCCCAAACCCAAGAAACAAGCAACTTATTGAAAAACATCAAACGGAATGTGGTTCCCAAACCCACATGTGAAACGATGTCAAATTCATATCAAAATAAAGGCTGGATCAAATGCAACATAAATCAAATGACTATGAAATATTCTGAAATTGGGGGTAATGCGTACTCCTCTCTTGTTTTTCGTCTCAACTGCTCCTCTCAAATTCTCCTGCTCCTGGCAGAGTACGGGATAAGAATTTCAGAGTTAACTATTAACTATCAAATACATGTGAAATTGTCAAGAACAATCGCCGAGGCTGAAGGCCTACGACCTGGGGCGTTTGGATCTAAGGACCCCTAGTTACTTGTGTGGTCTCACCCCCTCAACACGCCACGCAGACACCCCACCGAGGTTTGAGGGATTGGTTTTTTGTGGTTGCAAGACGTTTGGCCACCAGAGGATCGTTGCCTGTGGTCGGGATACAGCCCCACGTGTTGGGGATTACCCCACCAGGCCGCGGTTGAGTCGTGAGTCGGGAGAAGGGAAGGCCTGAGCGTGAGTCGGGAAAAAGTGAGCCGGGAAAGATTGAGGTCTTTGGAAAAGGCATAGGCGTCAGGCAGCTAATCTCTTAAATTCTCAAATATGTGCCTAAACGAGAGGTGGTTTTAGCCAATGTCTGCACCTGGCTTCCCGTATCTCTTCATTCCACTTATCGAGAAGTGAAAAGGCTGTAGTTTTAGCATATGTCCGTACCAAGCTTTCCTTATCACTTCACTTTCCCAGTGGGACTTCGTTCCTCTCGTTGCAAAATGAAAAGCTGAAAAGAGGTGGGTTTGAACGTATGTCTGTACCTGGCGTTCCCTTGCTGGTTTTCTTCTATCCTCTAGTCGCAAGGTGAAAAGGGGCTGGTTTTCACATAACCTGGCTTTGCCTTTAATGATTTTCTTCATCCACTTGTCGAAATGTGAGTGTTGGTGGCATTAACCTATGTACAAAGATACATACCAGGATTTCCCTCTGCCACTTCACGTTCCCACTAAGTCGTGCATCTCTTTTTCCTAACTTGTACCCCCGCTTCTTTTTCCTGACTCGTGCTCTTTTTTTCCTCACTCGCGCCGTGCGCGTGTTGTTTGTGCCTCTTCTTGTTCCTAAATGGTGCTTTGCTCTTTCCTGACTCGTGCCGCGTGCCTTTTTCGCCTGACTCATGCTTCGTTCTCTTCACCCCCCCCCCCACCATCCCTGCACACCCCATGCAACCCCACTACCTCAGCCCCTACCCACACCTCGCACCCCTC